GATGGAATTATGATATATCAATTATGATATGTTCATCTTGACAGAGTCTTGTAGAACAATATTAGTCTACTGTCCCTCATGGCAGAGATGTTCACAAGTCACTTTTTCCAAGTCCAAGTCAAGTCTCGAGTCTTTGAGGGGCAACCCTAACCCTAACCCTAACCCTAACCCTTTTTCAGAGGTCACAAAGACCCGTCTGTGTGTCGTCTGTCTGTAGCACATTTGTATTGGGCGCTCGTCAGCTGTTTTTAATGAAATATTAACAGACCATCTGAGGTCTGTGACTGGAAAAATAACAAAGTGACTCATGGAGGTCCTTGAATTTTCTGCCGCAGGTCCTTGAACCTCTCCATGCTCAGGTGTGTAACATGTTAATCCAGGTTGTACAGTGTCTGTTACTGTATATGCTGCCATAGAAATGGAACGGTGTAGATCAGCACTCCTACTGTGGCTGGATGACTAGACACTGTAGAGTTTTAGACTTGAATGTTATATTTCACTTGTATCTGAGTGTGTAGTGTGTGTAGTACAGTGTGGTAATCAACGGTTGGTTCGCCTCCCTTTCACTTCCAATATTCAATCTCAACCTACTTGTTGAAAGATTTTTCTTCAGATTTCTGGTGGACTTCTGGCAGAAGAATTGATTAAAAACTAAAGTTTTTTTCTTCAAAATTATCTTTGCACCTTCTTTGAGCTGCTGCCTCCAGGGGGCACCACAGAGGATTATCTGCCTCCATCTCACCTTGTTATCTGCCTGTCCCACTTTGACATCAAACATCTTCATGTCACTACATCCTTCCTCAGAGGTCTTCCTCAGCTCCAGTCCAAACCACCTCCACCTTCACTGTCCCTCCATCCTGGTCGCTCCCACTGAAGATCTCAGGATCTTCATCTGCTCCAGCTCAGCCTTGTGGCTGTTAGACAGGTCCTCCTCCTCTTCCTCCTCTTCCTCCTCTCCTCTTCTCTCCACTGCCCACCCCTCTGGATTGTTGCCCTCAGTATTTCCACTTTGCCTCCACAGTATAGACCTTTAAACGAATAAACCTTTTGCCCCGTCCCAGGTGTGTATGCTGTGTTCTGTGGGGTATCATCTGTTTTCGTGCCACCGCTCGGAGAAGACGTGCCGGCGCTGGCTGGCTCTGGACTATGCAGGCATCTCCGTTGGCATCCTGGGCTGCTACGTGCCTGGAATCTTCTACGCCTTCTACTGTAATGCAGTGAGTCTTCATCATCTTCATCATCTTCATCATCATCATCATCGTCACCTCTGGGGAAACAGGGATTTACCTGTAAGACTCTTAAGAGACACCTGATGTTTGTCTTCTTCCTGTCACAGTTTTGGCGACAGGTCTACCTCCTGACCGTCCTCTCCCTGATCCTGGCCGTCTTCTGCGCTCAAGTCCACCCAGATTACCTCAGCAACGACTGGAGACGCATACGAATGGCCATCTTCTTCTGTGTGGCCGGCGTCAGTGTGATCCCAGCATGCCACTGGGTGTGGCTTAACGGTGGCTTCACCTCTGATGTAGTACAGGTCAGACACCAGTGTTCAGGTTATAGCTCTATACTCTGTCAGTCTCACATAGATCTGGATCGTTCTGTTGAACCTCCAGGTTTTCCTGCCTCGGGTGGTGGTGATGTACCTGATCGCTGGATCGGCCTTCCTCTTCTACGTCACCAAAATTCCTGAGCGCTACTTTCCTGGTGAGTCACCACTGGGTGGACCTCCATTATCCCACAATGTTCAAGTGATTGATGGTGTTTTTAGCGCCTCCTCTGTTGACAGCAACACTCTTTAAGGAATGACAGCATTCAGTTTTGGTGTTTGGACCAATCAGAAGTCCATCCTTTATTTCTCTTCTAGGCCAGATGAACTACCTGGGAGCCAGCCACCAGGTGTGGCACATCCTGGTGGTTGTGATGTTCTACTGGTGGCACCAGACGGCTGTGTACATCATGCACTTAAGACATAGTCAGCCCTGCAGCAGCAGCAGCAGCAGCAGCAGCAGCAGCAGGAGTTAAGTACAGAACAAATATCCATAGAAAAAAGAAAAGTTAAATTTCAATGGTTGTTTGAAGATGATGTTTCTGACTTTGGACCAATGAGAGCGAAGGACGCAAAAATATTTGGACCAGTTTTAAGGTCACTTTTAGCTAACATTGTTCAGTGCTGTGGCCAAACTTTGAACTACATCTGAGTCACTTGAGTGTTTCACTCCCCCACACCACTAGAGGGCCAAATGAAAGTATCTTATGTCAACAGTTTGTAACTGCAAATGGTTTTTACATCTGCATTATTTGGAAAGTCGTAATGAAGCACGGTGAGACAGAAGGGCGTGTCCAGACGGAGGACGAAGACACAGCCAGTCAACCATCAGTGTTGGATCCATACATGAGTCACACAGACAATGATTACAGTGATTATTCTGTGGTCTGAACAATGGCCACTGAGACCGTGATTTGATCCTTTGATGTGAAGAACTCCACCTGGACCAGCGGCGCTTCAGTTTGATGATGTCAGTAGTTTATTGTGTAAAGATCTTTACTGTTGTGTTGATGATACGTTTAGTCATTAAAACTACCTTCCTGTCCACAACGTCAGTAGTTATAATAAGGAACTATAGTTAGCATGCTAACAACAGTTATGCTAATAGTAAAAGTCATGGAGCGCCAGCCATTGAGTCTTTGGTCCCAACCTGACTTTTCCACGACAGCTGGATTGTTTTAGTCAAATTACTGCCCCCTACTTGGTCATTTCTTAGTCATTGTAATAACTGGACGATTTCTAAAGCACCTTTGCTAATAGGTAATTGGAGGATAATGTGATTTTTGAGGCTAATAAGTAATTGGAGGATAATGTGATTTTTGAGAGCCTTCAAAGCCCAGATGTTTCAGAGGGTTTGTAAACTGGGACAAAGCTACGGTTCCTGTTCTCAGTGATGGTCCGACCACAGATTATTCTGGAGCCAGTGGTAACAGCAGAGTGGTCCTGGTTCATTCCCCTGGTTCTGTTCCCACAGTAAAAAGCTCCCTGTTTGTTCACTTGGTCCAAACCATGAACAAAAGCCAGAACAATCAATCAGAAATCAAACCATCAAACGCTGACGGACCTCGTCTTTGCTGTTACATATGGATTCCGGTGACTTTGGTTTGTTTTCCTGGAACAAATGGTGAATTTTTAAAGATGAGCCGAACAACAGACGAACTGTGTTTAGATACTGAAGACGTGAAATTAACCACTGTGTTTTTGTTGAGTGAACTTTGCTTGTTTGTTTTGACTCTGTTTTTGTTTGTTTTCATCCTGTTTTTGTTTGTTTTGATGGCACTGACAGAAAAGATGTGTGGTATTTATTTTAGTGCCTGTATGAAAATATTTAAAGTATTTAAAATGAATAAAGAAATATGTGAAACTATGTGTTGACAACTCTTCTGTAGCTGTTGTCGAGTGTGTGGTCCGAGGGCCAATCATGGCCCATGGACTGGTGTGGACCAGGGTCATAAGTTAGTTTAGTTAGTTCAAGTTATGTGTAGATACTGTTTGGTCAGTTGTATCTGAGTTCTGCTATTTTTGGATTGTTTTTTGTAATTTCAGTTCCTGTAAAGTGTTGTTCTATGACCTTTTGACCTCTAGTCATTATTCTGTATTTTGACCAGGACAGTGATGATGATGATGATGATGATGGTGATGATGGTGACAGAGAAGCAGCTGCAGCAGGGTTCCTGTCTTCTAAAACATCAGTGTGCAGATTGATCTGAAGTGATCTGAAGTCCTAACAGTTTATCAAGTTACTGTAACCAAGTTACTGTAACCAAGTTACTGTAACCAAGTTACCATAGCCAAGTTACTGTAACCAAGTTACCATAGCCAAGTTACCATAACCAAGTTAATATTGACTTCTGTTCATGTCCTTGGTTTTAGGATGGAGTGTTTGTGACCTTTGACCCTGCATGTTGACATAAGAGCTGTCCAAATGAAGCAGCTGAGGAACCACACACACTGGGACAGGTCAGCATCACACACACACACACACACACACACATTTCATAGATGATCCTACAACAAACATTGTTGCAGCCACACTTTTTTTTTCACACTTCAGATGTTATTTTTTTTATTGACTTATCTGAGTCCAGCTCCGCCCACAAACACAGGTCAACATGGTACAACAGTTAAATTCAGTTTGATGTCAAATTAATATGTTGACATTTAGTGCTGGAGGTTTGAGCCCTCTGCTGTTGAGTGACAGATTAACCTTAACTTTATTGTGACTTTATCCATTTGACTGCACACTCACTGACAAACATCCTGCTGTTTAACCATTGACCGCCTGGTTAGAGCAGACTGTTGATGAGTAAACACTGGCCTTTCAGACGCTGACTGTTGACGGAACAGACCTGGAGTCAGTGTTTAACGTTATTGATGGTTAGGGTAGAAAACTGCTGCTGTGACAGTGCAGCATCTGCTTACACCCCATCACTAATCACTGTTTTGTGTGGCTCAGGGTCCAATGGTGGTACTTAGATTTGTTAAACGTGGCCCTTAACCTCTTTACTAAACAGACATTTTTAACAGTCTTCTAATTAACTACAGTCTAATTATCTTTGCATATTTCTGATATGACAAACTTTGAACTTTTGTTGGCTACTTTTCAGCTATTATATTAATGTATTTTAGTTTATTCATTCAGCTAACCTTTAGCTCTGTCTGCTATATTTGTAGTTATGTGCTTGTTGTTACCTTGTAGATGACTTTACCATGATCTTTTATTGTTGTAATATAATACTGAGTTTTCCTTTAGTTATTTATATCTTGGCTAACTTTTCTGCTGTGTCTCCATTGCATTTTAGTTCATGTGCTAGCATGTTTTTAGCTTCCAGATTTAGTAAAAGTTTAGTAAACCTTGATTTTTTTTTTATCCTAAACTGTTAAGGCTGACTTTAAATTTCTGCATTTTTCAGATCTAATGGTAACTTCCTGTCATTTTGGAGTTGTGTTTATCCTGGTTTGTATCTGTTTTAGCTAACTTTAATGTTTCCATATTTTTATTCCACATTGTTACGGCTATATTCCATCTTTAGTCCGACTGTTACACATGTTTCATTCTCTCCCACTCGTATTGCTTTAATTCTTTTATGTTTTTATACTACTGTAAAACGTACTCTCTTACTGCAGTTCATCTATACGACCTTTTTTAATATCGTACCTTCATATATTGTACGTTGTTATCAAACCAATGTTGAACATTTAACAACATTATTACTGATATTTCCAATGAAAAGCCTTTGGCCTGAGGCGTTTGAGGACATGATGATATAGGCAGTAAATCACATTATCTAAGCTCTCATTCATTTGAAACACACACTCCGTAGATCACATGAGAAGCACTCGGACCATAAAAGTTACAGGTCAATAAACCTGCCGGTGGTGATTAATGCAGTGTCCATTATTCAAGCTAACGTTGAATTATTAATTCAGGCAAAAAATTCAAGTCAAGGACGACTTTTGTATTAGGAATAATCGGTTTATTTCAAGTATCAAACATTAAGGCAGTGTTTTCTAATTGAATGTCAACTGTCTAAAATGTGTTCTGAGGAAGAACAGATAAATATATCAGAAAAATTTACCTAAAAACAACAACATTTTCCGTTCACAGTTTATAGCTTTTGCCTTAACATGTTGAGAATTTCAACTGTTGTACAAATTTAGTACAAAAATTTAGAGCACAGTTAAAAAATGGCACAAACTCCCCACCCCCAAATACACAAACATGTAACATACGGTAAATGCTGGATTTATCAAAGAAAAAACAATGGACAACAGTAGAAAACTGAATGATGATGACAGTCATCTGTTAGTTCATAAAAAAAAAGGATTTCCTTTCACCCAGCAGCCTCTAGCCACAGTAGTGCTGACCTTAAGGCACAGCATTAATGAAGTGATGAATGTGCCATGACATCATCAGGAGTAACATCGAAAATGATCCATGTAAGGACCCAGACGATAAGATTGTGCTTGGTGTGTGAAGAAAAGCAGCAGAGTGAGGCAGAACTGTTGAAGAAAATATCCATCTTTCTTCAATTCCTACAAATACGTCATTTCAGGTTTCATACTGAGTAAATAAATTTAGTGATCAATTTAAATCAAAGTAAATCAAAAGTAGATGATCATTACATTTTATTACCTATACTTTTAATGACATTTTAAAAAACATTTTATAAATGTGCCGTGACTTGAACAAGGTTGAGAAGCGTTCATCAATGACATTGTAAATGACTTCTGAATTCTGCAGCTCTGTGTTGGATGCATTTGTTTCTTCTGTATGTGAAGGCCATATTTATGGTATCAACGTGTTGCTCAGACACACTTTGGTACTGAAACATGTTGGGCCTTGGAGCGAATGCACCACCACCCAATTGAAGGGCAACTCACTTAACCATGTGGAACCCAAAATTGTATATACATTTGTATGCATGGCCAATGCCTAGGTCCAACCCTCCAACCCTGACAGTGAAAAGTCTCCTACAGTAAACGTAAAAAAAAAATCGTACTCTATATTAGTTGTCCCTAAAATTGTAACTAAAAACAAAGTAGTTAGCGCAAGGTTTAGCAAGTGTGATCGTTAAACTTTAAAATCTCATGACTCATGACTCTTGCTGTCTGTCAATTCCTTCTTTTGCACCACTGCCCTTCAAGCTGTGGGCAAACACCACGGCACTGTGGACTGTGTGGAACAGCCGGCTGCTCATTTCTTGGTTGTTCTTCCCAAAGAACTGCCCCCTCTGAAGGGTATCAATGACCATGGTGTTACAGCAGGCCAGCAGCACATGCACACCAATCTCCTTGTATTCCTTCACCAATCCTTTGAACGCAGCCGTACCTGCTGTGTCAATGAAAGGCACAGCGGAGCAGTCCAAAACGATTGTGTGGAACTCCACTTCTCTTTGAACGAGTCCGACGACAACCTCTCCGTTGGTTTTATCGTTGTTCGCTTTGGCATTCTTCAAAGACAGTTCTTTGGCTTTCTTCTCCGCCTTTCTCCTCTTTGTCAACTCCAAGAAAGGTTCGACTCCCACAGAGTTGTAGAGATATTTGAGAAAGGAGTCCTTGTTGGCGTAGTACAAGGGAGCGTTAAAGCGAAAGATCCGAATTTGAGGTGGTGGTACAAGGTTTTTGTATTCGTCTACATCCTCGTAAAAGTCCGAGTGGTTGGCTCGGCCCATCATAGAAACCTAAGACAACGAATAAGACAAGGTTAGCCAAATAAGACGCTGTCACTTTAACTTCAGTGAGACTGAACATTTGGAGGCAAGTATTTTACACACTTTAGGATTCTGGGTCTTGAAGATGATGCACATCATGGAGAAGATGATTCCGACCAAAAGTCCCAGCTCCACGCTAATCAGGGCTGTGGCCGACATAGTGACCAACCAAACAATGGCATCGGTCCGGCTTGTGCGCCACTTCGAAGGGACATCCCTGAATTTTCTCAGTGCCCCCCTGAGGCTGACAATAATAATACAGGCAAGGACACATTTCTGTAGGGCATAAAAATACGGTGCGAAGAAGAGCAGGACAAGAAGCACAACGAGGGCACTGATAAGGCTGGAGACCTGCCAGAGAGAAACCAAGAGAAATTGTGATGAACGTTTTTAATATACAGTATGTCAGTAAGTACTTTGACGGACTGAGTAGTGAGAACCTCTGTGTGCCTCAGAGACAGGGATGGAGAATGTCTTTTATATTTATATCTATTTTTGTTTCATTTTCACCTGCGTCTGGACGCCTGTTGAATCCTTCACCATAGTTTTTGCGAGCGCTGCACTTGTGGTGAAACAGTGGAAAAAAGAAGGAATGATGTTACAGAAACCGATGGCCAGCATCTCCTGGTTGGGACGAACTGTGTAACCGTGTTTCTTGGAAAACATCTCGGAGAGTGAGATTGTGAAGGCGAAACTAGAAGATGAAGAGATATCGTGGGATTTTTATTGGCCCTCAATTATCTGAGAAGCTAATCTTGGTCATGTCAAAGGATCCTGCTTGAATTGACACGTGCTGCTAAGGACTCATGAGTCGGACTAGGTTACCTGATGACAGCTAGAGGAATGGCGTCCAGAGCCACCCTTGACATCAGATCAGACCTGGGCACACTGGGAGGAATGAAGCCAGTGGGGATGTGACCAGAAATGCTGGAGCCATAGTTGGTGTACAGTCCCCCAAAATGGCTGGCAAGGGTAGCTCCTGCCACTACTACCAGTTCAGTTGGCAGAGGGACCTTTAGGCGATTCTTGTAGCGCTCCTGGATCTCTTTACCAGCCACTGTAGGTCAAAAAAGATAAAGATTTCCTCAAAAATGTTTTTTCTAAGAAAAAAAGCATTGGCTTCAATCAGTCCAACAAAAGTCTTTACCTAATATGGAGATGCAGATAGCACTAGTGATCAGGTCACAAAAGTTGGTCTTGTGGATGTTGGCAAAGATGTTGAACCAGGTTACGACCACGGTGCCGTAGCCCTGGTGACGGGATATCTTCAGACCTAACAGGTATTTAGCCTGCACGGTCAGAATGGTAAAAGAAGCTCCAGTGGCAAAGCCATCCAGCATTGGTGCCGAAAGGTAGATGGAGAGAAAGCCCAGGCGACAAACAGCCATCAACACCTGGTGAGTCGTGAAGAGACGGCTTTAGTCTGAGGTCCAACCAGCGGTAAATTATAATTTCAGTTAGAACTGGTTTGTGTTTTGTTGCCTTACCTGATAGACACCAGCCAGAAATGTTAGTGCAGCAGCTAAGCCAATAGCGTAACACTCCTTTCCGCACTGGAAGCCCATCAACTCCACCGTGCCTACGTTGTCTGCTGTGTAGTTAGAGGACGTGGAACTGTTAAAGACCGATGATTCCTCACTGATGTCAAATCCAGCCAAAAAAAGCTCTCTGTACACCACCTGAAGACAAATTACAATATTCATTTTTATATTACTATATTGTTCAAATAAGGAACATCGCAATTTTACTCATAGTTTTCCGTATCCGACATATCTACGTGTGGTATTTCCTGGCCATTTATTTCTTTTGTCAATGGTTTTTGGTGGGAACCAGGTGTTAAAGACAGTGTTAGCTACCAGTTAGCTAATATAATACCTGTCCAACCATGAGGCTGATGAGGCTAAAGATCCCCACAGAAACGTGTCTGGACGTCCCCATCAGGAAGTAGATGATGTTGGCATAAAATGAGGTGTAGAGGCCGTAAATGGGTTCCACTCCTGCCAACAGGCAGTAGGCAATCGCCTGTGGCACCAAGATGATGCCCACAATGAGTCCGGACATCACGTCACCCCACACGTACTCTCTGAGCTTGTACTTTGGCAACCAGCGCACCACGGGGAAGAACCCGGTCAGGGTGGATCGGACTTTGGGTACAGAGCAGGTCATGCTCTGCTTCAGCTTGGTCTTCAGGATGGAAAGTGTGGGCTCTCGGTGGCGGATTCTGCGCTCCAGGAGAGGCGGCAGGACCGCTGTTGTTTCCGTGGCCTCAAGGACCTCCTCCATGTTTCCAGGAAGGTTTGTGAGAATGTAAAGGAGAATCAGGTGAGCTCAGCTGAACGTCTGTGGAGGAAAAACACAGATGACGTTAGCCGACTGATTACTTCTAACCTTATCTTATTGTTTCAGGTCAGGTTTATCTTTTCTCACATTCTTTTCTTTTTTTCTTCTCCTTCTTTTGACTCTTTGAATCGCTCATTAATCGTCTACCAGTCGTATCCCTATTTCTTGGCAGCTTCATCTCTAATCCACTCTGTCTCAGCAAATGTCCAAACCATCTGTACTTTGTCTCCATGACCTTAGCCTTAAACCCTTCTTTAAAAAATTTAAAAATTCAACACTCTGAACAAAAGTAGCCACATTGTTTTCTTTCTTCACTGCAGGTTGTTGTCACATGTGCGAAGCTAAAATTATCACAGAGCTAAAAGTAAATACAGAGCTGTTACTCCTGCAGCGCGACAAATACATTAGCGCTGGGTCATTTTCTCCCATAATTCCTTTCTTCCACTTAACAACTGCAGAAAACTGCAGCATCATGGGATTTAAAAGACGGCCATGATTCCAGCAGTTATCAGTCAGTCAGACAGTCAGTCAGACAGACAGACAGACAGTCAGTCAGACAGTCAGTCAGACAGACAGACAGTCAGTCAGTCAGACAGACAGACAGTCAGTCAGACAGTCAGTCAGACAGTCAGTCAGACAGACAGACAGACAGACAGTCAGTCAGACAGACAGACAGACAGTCAGTCAGTCAGACAGTCAGACAGACAGTCAGACAGTCAGACAGACAGACAGACAGACAGACAGTCAGTCAGACAGTCAGTCAGTCAGACAGTCAGTCAGACAGTCAGTCAGTCAGTCAGACAGACAGTCAGTCAGACAGACAGACAGTCAGACAGACAGTCAGTAAGTCAGACAGACAGTCAGACAGACAGTCAGACAGACAGTCAGACAGACAGTCAGGCAGACAGACAGTCAGTCAGACAGTCAGTCAGTCAATCAGTCAGTCAGTCAGTCAATCAGTGACAGGAAGTATGACCCCATCACACATTCAGGATTACAGCGATGAAAGCAGCTGATGTCAGTGTGAGGTGTGAGATCAGTCATCATGTCATAATGATACAGGTGTAGATCACAGTCATTACCAGTGAGTCACATGGTCCACGGACCGATTCTAAAAGTCCGATTTTGATGGTAATATTAACAAGTACAGATATATAAATAGAACTTCAAAACAAACAGTGAAGTACACAGTTTGTTACTGCACTGTTGTATGGACATGTCGTCACTGTCCTGCAGTTCCCTGCTCCAACAGCAGGGGACTGCAGGACGCACCTTCATCATACAACATGTGTTTGTGCCTGAAGTTGTGTCTATTGAGGTTTTCAGTATAACATTGTTGTTACCTCTGTGTGTGTGTGTGTGTGACTCCTGCTGACTGAGTCACAGTGGAAAAATTCAAAAACAAATGAAAGAGAAACAACTCTTCTTGTATATATGTATATGTACTGTATGTATGTACATATACATATACATATATACAAGATCAAATATTACTGCACCAGTGAAGGAGTCACACTGAGGAACAAACCTGACCATTCCATGATTCTCACTCACTTTTCTCACACAACTATTGCCTAACCAGTTGGTCCCAGGCTCCAGGCTCTGACTGCGCAGGAGCACTGTTAGTCAGTCGGCTTTTAGTCAGTCGGCTGTTAGTCAGTCGGCTTTTAGTCAGTCGGCCTGGTTAGTAAGGAGCGCGAGTGCGTGGAACTCAGTACCTGAGGAGGTTAAACTGCCTACAACATTCAAGACAATGTGAAAATGTGGCTTATCAACAGCTACAGCTGCCAACACTAACAGACAAGCCTGTTGTCATGTTATGATCAAATGTTATGTTGTGATGTGTTGTGATGTCGTACCTTTTGTGTGTTTGTGTAGGTATTGTGTGCTCTCTGCCTTCTTACACCGTGGCCAGGGGACAACAGATGAAAACCAACCTTTTTAAACCATGTGTTTTATGAATCATGACTACAGATGAAAACTAACCTTTTTAAACCATGTGTTTTATGAAATTGCACATTCCCCTTTTAAATAAACTAAACTAAGACCTGAGCAGTAAACATTTATCAGTCTGAGCCAATCAAATTTTAGTTTCAGTAAAAATCCCTCTGTCTGTGTCTGGGGCAGCCTGGATGCTTAAAGCTGCCCCCTGCTGGCTGTGGTGATGAGTATGCGGTGTCACAATGACAAGTAGTTCACTTTCCTTCCACTAAAGCAGCAAAAAGGTCAAAGGTCAAGGTCATGTGATCAGCAACTCACCTGCAGAGTCACCGGACTTCAGCTCTGCTCTGTTTCCTTCTCACTCACTCTCTCTTTCCATCACTTTCCTCAGTCTGTCTTAGTGTCTCTCGTCCTGTGTCTCTCGTCCTGTGTCTCAGCCGTCTGGTCATGTGACCAGTGTTTGACCGTGTGTGTGGTCACTGCTGGTTCAGGAGAAAAGCAGCAGCAGCAGCAGCAGGACTTTGCTTTTCTTCTCCCTACGACTCCTTCTTATTGGTACAGAGGAAATGGGCGGGGCTCTGCACGTTACTATCAGTCAGTGTGTGTGTGTTTGTGTGTGTGTGTGTGTGTGTGTGTGTGTGTGTGGAGACACAGCTCTTGGTTCTAAAGTTGTGGGTCCAAATGTTTCTCTTCAAATTCTCAGATGAGCATGAACTGCACTCATCTGTCAATCATCTGTCAATCATCTGTCAATCATCTGTCAATCATCTGTTCATCATGTGACTCCACATCAGATTAGTTCTGTTGGTCATAGTTCTCTGGACCCCCTGGTTTCTGCTCTGGTTCTGGTATCAACACCTGCTCACAATCGTTACCAAGTGTGTGTGTGTGTGTGTGTGTGTGTGTGTGCACCACCAAACCATTTTCCAAACCAACCCTTGGTGTGTGGCCTGGACTGCAGTAGACCACAGAGTTTTCTTTTTTCCATTTACTCGATTCATTTAAAGATGATCCAACAATCTTTCAAAAATAATGAGCTAAAAAAACCCCAAAAATAATAAACTAAAAGATGTTTTAGTTTGAAAATGTACTGATCCTAACGGTCCTTCAGATCAGGTCCGGCTGACCTTCAGCTCCAGATAAATCCATGAAGGTTTTGGTAGATTTTTGGATCAGGAAAACAACTGTTTGGGCGATGCCCAACGACAACAACAACGACCTCATACGGTACTGGGTGTTGGTGGAAATCGGACTAGGGTTGGTTGAAGACCATCGAGGAAGAGAGGAGACAGTTTGGAGATGTTAGAGATGGATGTTCAAACAAGAGCAGAAGAAGAAGAATTGACTTTTCACAGTACTGTGAAGAAGAAGAAGAAGAAGAAGAAAAAGAAGAAGTTAGGACATGGAGGTGGTTGTTGGTGCAACAGCAGACACCGGGGAGACCAGCTGATTTAGGTCATACTGTATGTGATCTACAGGTGTTGTATACGTCAACTACTGTCCCAGCTTATGGTGCAACATTTCCAAAAATGTGGGCAATGGTGGCCTAGTGGTTAAGGAAGCGGACTTGGGTCCGGAAGACTTCGGGTTCAAATCCATCTGAGCATAGGACCGTCCCCACCCACTGCTCCCTGGGCGCAGACTGTGCTGACTGTGGTGATGGGTTAAAAACAGAGGCTCAGTTTTGTTGTATACTCGTGGTACAATGACAATAAAGACCATTAAAAAATAAAACTCTGACATTTTAGGATAAAAAACGACAGATACTGTGAAGTAGCAGTGAAAATTTGTGTTCCTTGTTGCTCAACATACGGTTCACTACAGAGTGTCATCTGCATAAAGGATGACATTTAGACAAACATTTGTCTCATAAAAACAACAGAACACAACAAAGCAAAGAGAGTCTGGAATTGAACCCTTAACCTTCAGTTAAAGGATATTCAGGACGAGTTTCCATTAGAAAGTTCTAGAACATTAAAGTCTTTGTTGTGTTCTGGATCAATGAAGGTTCTTCACACATCTAAAAGTCGGATTTGGTCGTGTGGTTTGAATGAAGTGTAGAACAAAGTATTTCCTGACGATTGGGCGTGGTCACGTGGGCGTGGTCACGTGGGCGTCGTGTTGTGGGCGTGGTCTAGATGGTTGTCAGATTAAAGTGTGTCGTGTGTTGCCTTGTCTTCTGTGTGTGTGTGTGTATGTGTGTGTGTGTGTGTCACTATCAGAACAAAAACAGTATTCTGCTTCATACAGTCACTGGAGAATTAGAGAAAACTGCAGTGTGAATCCACCCCCCCATCTATGTTTGTCTGCACTCACCCAGAGAGAAGCAGCAGCAGCAGCAGCAGCAGCAGCAGCAGGAGGCGCACAGCCTGCGTGGGGGCACGGCGGCCGGGACTGAGTCAGACATGATGTTTCTTCTTCATCCACTGTTTCTTTCTTTCTTTTCTTCTTCTCTTCATCACGCTGCTTCCTGTGTGTCCTACCGCAAAGCATGATGGGCAACACCAACCCCCTCACCCTCCTCCTGCTCTGATTTGCAAACCGAAGGGGGAGGGGAGAAGAAGCTGTCAGCTGTGGGGTTGGGTTGCCGTGGTAACCAGGCGCGTATGTATGTCATTTAAAATAAAAATGTATTTTTTCTAAGAATTCATAATTTGACAAATAATTTGATCTGTTTGAGTCTGGGTTCAGTGTTAATGTTATCTTACAGATTACAAATCTAAAGGTAGTTGTGGATTACTGTGTTTGTGATTAACACAGGTGGTGAAAATAAATAAAAGTATCTTTGCTTTGTTTTGTGAAAAAACACTTGATTTAAAGTTTACCTTGAATAAAAGTTACTAAAAGTTACTTTAAATTACTTGATGCAAAAAGAACGAGTCGTTTTAATCAACAATTCAAATATAAGTGAGAATTCTATGATTTGACAGTGACAGTTCTGTCCACCGGGGGCAGGCACATTTCACATTAACATCCATCCATCCATCCATTTTCTTCCGCGTATCCGTTACCAGGTCGCGGGGGCAGCAGTCGCCACCCAAATCACACTGCACCGTACCAAACCTTCCTGCAGGTGGTGAGTCCACTGGAAACATGAACATATTCTCACGCAAATTTACTCGCTAACGGGTTCTTTTTCAATGTAGAAAAGTAAAATACTGAAAATATTCAAAAAGAGTAATTGAGTTAAAGTAAAATGACCAATTTAGCAAAACTACTTAAACAATTACTCACAAAACTACGCAATTACAGTGAGTAAATGTCATTTGTTAGTTTCCACCTCTGGTGATTAATCAGCAACATTCCTAAATTTGACAAAGTATAAAGTTTGAGAGCAGTGATTGTGATTGGTCGAATAATTAGTTTGTCAAAAGATTCACTTTCTGAGATGGAGCAATAACATTCTAGATCCTCGTCCAACTGCTGACTCAAGTCCTGAAGTCCTGAAGTCACACGGTGTTTCATTCAATCTTCTAATCATTTACTGGAGTTCTTCACCTGCCCTGACAGGGGGCAGTAAATGTTTAGAGAAACAGTCAGTGAGTCACTACTATAATAATAGGACTGTGGTGGCTAACGTTAGCTCTGGAAGGACTGTGGTGGCTAACGTTAGCTCTGGAAGGACTGTGGTAGCTAACATTAGCTCTGGAAGGCCTGTGGTGGCTAACGTTAGCTCTGGAAGGACTGTGGTGGCTAACGTTAGCTCTGGAAGGACTGTGGTGGCTAACGTTAGCTCTGGAAGGACTGTGGTGGCTAACGTTAGCTCTGGAAGGACTGTGGTAGCTACCGATAGCCTCGGTGTCATACTGAACTGTTGTAGCTAACATTAGCTTGAGCTGCTGATACTCTTTCTACAGAACATTTCTGCTTCAGTTTGTTTCAAAGATCTTTATTTAAAACAACTCAGGCCCGACAAGACCAGGTCATCCCACAGTAACCACTGGTGTGTGTGTGTGTGTGTGTGTGTGTGTGTGTGTGTGTGTGCGCGCGTTAGTGTTTATTCTTTGCTCAC